CTTAAATAATCTGTGTGATTTAGAATGTGTTGTTATTTGTTATTTTAATGGACTTAGATGCTACCTATTGATGCAGTTCTGTTTGCTTAATACTGTCTTCATGAAGCAGTGGATTTAAAAGCTGCAAAAAGAGACTCTCTCTCTGTACCTTAACAACATTTTTTAAAGGGGTTTACTGCTTTATGTACAGGTACAGAGGAGAATTTATCAAAACTGGAGCAGACAAAATCTGGAGCAGTTGTCCAGAGCAACCAATCAGAATCTCTCTTCAGTTTGTTCAGTTAAGATTTGAAAATGAAAGAGAGAAGCTGATTGGTTGCCATGCACAACTGTTCCGGATTTTGTCTGCTCCAGTTTTGATAAATTCCCCTCACAGTATTTTCAATTCAGATCATGTTAGCTGAAAGGTAAGGGTGCAATAAGCCCCTTATCATTCACTTTGGCCTGGTTGTGTCTGCCATACACAGAAGACACCTGAATGGTACCGTTTCTGTAGACCTACACCCAAACCATACCCAAGATCTGCAATTCCGTCCTACTTGCACTATAGTTTTGAAGATGTTTGTAATCCACAGTGCTCAGGGCTTGCATCTTTGTACATAGTCTTCAAATTGCCTTATTAAACAATGCTGTTAATATTTCTGTACACAGTGATACAGCCAGAGCATTTACATTATTATTATTATTATTATTATTATACAGGATTTAATGTATCTCCCAGATCCCAGATCTGGTTCGGGAAATGGTGTGAACCTGCCCGCAGTTTTAGTGCATTCCGGACCAGACAAAATGAGACATTCAGTATTTTTCTGGTCTGGTCTGGAACGGACTGCACTGGTGTGAACAGAGGCCAGATTGGGATTGGCATTGGGATACATTAGGATGCATTTTAGGTCCAGAAACAATCTGGTCTGGTCTGGAGGTGATCTGGATGTGGTGTGAATGGGCCCTAAATCCATGCAGTTGGCTCCACTATTAGCTTTTTAATGCCTGTTTCTTTCACCGCTTTTCTTAATTGATCCTGTTGGCCTTTTCATTGTGATAAATTATTAAAACAGTTGGTCTAGATTGTTCACTTGTTCACTTCTCCTGCCTTCTCCAAACTCTTGACCGTTTTGTGAATAACCCTGTCAACCTTCAACTTTGTTCATATCCACCAATCGTATTAATATTCACTGTTGAGCCTGGCAGGTTGTAGCAGTCAGCCGAAGCTCATGCTGCTTTTGTAAATAATCAAACAAGTACATCCCATGTATCAAACAAATACACATTTTTATCCTCCAAATTAAACAGAGATTATTTTTTACTCAAGAAAATCTAAAAGCAAACAGAAAATGCTAGCACATTATTCCCAGTATAATTGTTAGGTACAGTAATCCACTATATTATAGGAAATAATAAACTAATAATTATATAGAATACAATAAAGTGATAATTGTTATCAGTAATGCTATGTATGGATATTTTGTATCTTGAAATACAAGCAGTGAAACCTGTTATTGAAGCCTGAACCTGTTTAGCTCTTGATATACCCTTTTTTCCAAATGTGTTAATTTGCTTATTGTTTAGTGTTGACTGGAGTCATAAATTAGGCATTTGGGTTTATTAGTATCCAGAAGTATGCTGAGCTAAAAATCTAATCCAAGTGTAAAATTAGTTTTATATGATTGTTTTAATCACTGACCCCACTTTACCTGCCAGTTGATTTGAGATGTCTGGAAGCATGAATTTAATTAAGTTAATCAAAGTATTCAACTACTCTAATTAAAGCGGAACTCCTCCCACAAGCAGACTTGTATTATGAGAATGATCACAAGCACTGGAATAAATATGATAGCCTGAGAGTCAGCTGTGAGGAGCTGCTGCACCCTTCCTGCAGTAAACTATTGGCAAGTTGTTGGGTACAAACCCATCAAATTAACTCAACATAAACGTTATCTCACAAGCTTGCAACATCAGTGGTGGAGAAGGATCATCCCATCTTGGCTGGTAAAAGGCAGCAGGACCTAATGACAGGCTTTTTCTGACTGAGTTCAGATACACAGGTGGAACACCCCCAGGGAAGGGGTGTATTTTGTTGAAAGCAAAACTCACACTTATACCATATCGAAACAAAAATAAAAACAAATGACCAAGTTTGTCAATAGCCCTATGCAAATTTATTTTCATCCCACGTAGTTTTTTCAAGGGAGACTGTGATTACTGAAAGCTCATGTAATGGCATTCCATGTAAGCTTGATGTTTCCCCTGCAGTAATGGTTTTGCAGTGTTGTGTTTGCTCAGAGGGTTAGGACCTTGAAGTAGCTCATTCTGACATCAATGCACTGAAAAGAAGCTCTGAAATATCCTCACTGAGCTAAGAGAAACGACTATCAGCAAATAACTTATTAACCTGAACGCTGAAGTACCAGGCCATATATTCCACAAGGTTTAAATATATGGCTGTGATTATTTTGCTTGTGTTCTACTTAGGTTGAAAAATTAGGGTTATACAAGGTAGATCGGATAGAACAATTTACTGACTATATTCCATAACAGAGCATGTATTGTGCTTGTTTCTTGAAACACAAAATTGTAAACCAGTATCTAAATATAATTTATAATGGTTACTCTCTCCAAATCGTCCAGTTAAGGCAACTTTTGTTCTCTTCCCTCAAGTCTAGGATAACATGAATGCCCCAGAAAACTAAACTCATACCCCAATGCTACACATCACGCACAATTCTCTTTTTAAACAAAGTTTTAATTTATTTTTCTTGTGACTACTTAAATACTTTATTTTCTGTCTTCCTTTACAATCCTGTTTGCTTTTTACATAAGCAGGTGCTATCATAGTAGTTTGACATCTATTTTTTGTGGATAAGCAAAGCATAGTGAATGCATTGTAGACAATAACCAGGGACTTTGCAGTAAGTGCATCACAGGCTCAAACTGTGTATGGTTACCAAAAATTGTCCAACATCCTGCTGGATTCTTCTGAAACTACGGTAGTTCAAAAGTACAAAACTACTATATTTAAAGCCAAACTGCAGACAATCAGCTAAATAGAGAGCTGAAAAACATTTATAAGTAGTGCTTACCTGACAAAAATAGCTCTGTTTAAGACTGTGCAAGACAGCACAGCCAAGTATCGCGCTACCTGAGACCACTATGTAGACCACACTATAGTGAAGCAATACAGTCTGGTTTAATACCTGCCCCAGCCTGGTATTAGAACTTCCAAAAAAGAGGAAAGAGCAGAGTGAAGTGATATTTTAATCTTTAAGCTGCTCCTTCATCTAAGTGCTAATTGCTATTCCTCTGCATGCTGCTGAACTGGGATAGTGATATCAGCTGTATGTATAAATATTTTATTTGTTTATTTTTTTACATTTGACCTTTTTATATGTGCATAAAAGTTAACATTTTTAAAGGAAAATTATGGGGAGAGTGAAATAAACTCATCCCCATATTTAGAGCCGACATGTGACACTGAAGCTGTCAAACATCTGCTCTATAGATCAAGAACTATGCGATCACATACCGCTGATTGCTCAGTTCCTGATCGTCTCCTTGCAGAGAGCAGTGACTGCCAGTCACCGCTAACTGGAGGGATGGACGGGGGAGGTGGCGGGCACAGCTGGCTCTGCTTCTAGCTGTCAATCACCACCGCGGCTCTGCGCTGTCAGCATATAGCAGGCAATAGCCCACTATATGCTGAGTTTTGGGTCACAGGAGGGCAAAGTAAATGTCCTCCTGTACCCTAAAGGGAACTAAGGACAAAAAAGGTTGAGCCACAGTTCTCTTTTAAGGTTCCCCATTATAGGAAAAGAGAAAAATAGCACTGCGCTTCAACAAACTCAAAATATATTTCTAAAATGTGAGAAAAATTATTTGAGAGCAGCTGCAGTTAGTGACAGTTGAGACAGGTGGCGCTGTGATTACAGCGCCACCTGTCTCAGTGATCACACAGAGCAGACGAAGAACGGACGTTCTTCATCTGCACTAGGGGCTCTATGGTGAACTCATATGCCGAAGGTCACGGGTCCCCCAGAGGAGTGAGGGACCCCGAAAAACCACGGTGGGGGGCCCCGGACACGATCCCCGCCGCTCGATTAGTTACAAGTGATCGGAATAGATCACTTGTATCAAATCGAGCGGCGGGCCCACGCTGTACATTTAGCCCTGCCTTGTCCGGAGCAGGGCTGAATGTAAAAAAAAACTACTCGCCCGGCGCCCGAAACTGCATGTCCCGAACGTGGGGCGAAAAGGATTCGCTCCATATAGAACCGCATCCTCTCCCTCGTTTTCTGATTGGACAATAAATTGGGGTATATTGGGGTATATGTTAGAATAAATGTATTTAAAATCATTAAAATGTACTTACAATTAAAATAAGGCAATTGCACATAGATTATGTCCACTGGAGTTCCTGTCTCTATGATCGTAATGCTCACATGGATCCGCCCACCTGATGCATTTTGTCACTTTTGACTTCTGAGGCAATGGTCTGCATAGCATTGCCTCCCCATTGAATTTGCGGACAACCATTTCAACCTAAAAGAAGTTAAACCCTTTCTTTCTGTATTCAAGTAATACTAGGCTAAAGTCGGGTTTTCACTTTTTTAAAACCTTGTTTCTTTATATGGTTTTATCTATATGTGGCCATTAGTATTTGCACATGTTGCGCCTCTTGCAGTGTGTTGTTAATATAATTTCAGGGAAAGCAATACCATATTAGGTGGCTTATCCTATAATAATCATTCTCACAGTCATTTAGTGTGGATGCTGATACATTAAGTCCCTAGATGGAGAACCAATAAATCTGTGTATGACATAATCATAAAATAAGGTACATCAAGCAAGAAAAAAATTGAAAATCACAAATAACTTACTTGACAGCAAGCTTGAAGGTAAAATGTTTAGTCAGTAAGAAAGCATGCTAGTTTTCTCTTACCGTTACATTGATCATAATTTTTCAAGCATTTTACATTTTCTGCACTCTTTCTTACCTCCAATAGGTGCGTGTGTAATATAGACTGCAGTGGGCATAATTTTAATCCGGTCTGTGCCTCTGATGGAAACTCATACTCCAACCCATGTATGGTTCGAGAGGCATCCTGTCTGAAACAAGAACAGATCGACGTCAAACACCTTGGAAGCTGTACAGGTAGACTTGTATTTAGTATGATAAGCTCAGTTTGAATTGTTGGATCAAATCAGTTTCAGAAGTATTGACTAGTGATATGTAGCCTAAGAATTTGTGATTTACAAAACAGGATCCTATGTGGGCAAATTATGATCGGTAGGGATGAAAACAACCTGTAGCTGTTCAGAACATTAGAATGTTAACAGACGAACAGTTTTTAACATGATTGTGTTTAAGCATGAGTATAATGTAAAGTGCATGCCAAAATGTAACAAACCCATGCATGTCAACTGTAAGAGCCCAGATAAATAACAGAATGCCTAGAAAGTAAAACTGCATTTTTAGATGTTCTGTAATATGAAACTAGAGCTACTTATATATTTGTATTTATTGTAGGGCTGTTACTGAGTAAAATTTTCGTGTTCGATTAATCGAAATTCTTTTTCATCGATTAATTTCGATTAACTCGAGAAATTAATCGTTAATTTACACAGCCCTAATTTATTGCTAAAAAATAGGAATGTTACTAGCTTTAGTCAAATACAATACACTGTACTGTGCAGTCATAATATGGATTACTTTGAGAGGGAACACAGAATAGCATATTAAATCTAAAAAAGAAAAATATATATTTTTACTGTGCTTGCAAGGGGGATGCAGGCCAGTATTAGACATTTCTTGCATATTTAAAACAGAAATCCACTCATATGGAAAATGTATTTTCTTTGGAATACACTGGGTATGATTTATTCAAATAAATTACACAAGAGCAGGGAGAAATCACCTTAATTATAAGCATGCTTGTGTTGTGGCTTCACGTGTGTGTGTGTGCTAACATGAACACCTAAACTACCTGGTAAAGTGTACACACATGTTCAAAGTATTGTAACTGATACCCTCACAAATTGTGCTCTATGGCTACTTCACTGTCAGTGAGAGCATAGCATGCGTGTAGAAGATAATTTGAGCCTTCGCTTTGTGGGTTTGCAAGTTCACTGATGTCTTTTGAATATTCTTTAGATAATCAGGCCCACTGAGTAGATTGTGCTCATGGGTGGCACTTTATGGGTCCCACTAATGCTGTATTTCAGGAGCACCAGAACCCAGAGGTGTCATTTTTGGGAGTCGTATCTGTGCAGGACAAAATCAAAGTGGTTAAGCCGTGATACTGCTTGTTGAACTGATCAGTTTGAACCAATATTCTACTTTTTTAATGAATGAAAAATATGAAAAAATGTCTAAGTAATACCAGTCCATAAACATGGACACATGGAATTTCAGCTGCTGTACCGGGAAGTAGCGATTTTCAGACTTTAACAGTATTCTGAGTGTTCATTTCCAGATTATTTAACATTCTAGTTTGATAGCTCACACATAGGTTTCTTGGTATGACCAACACTTACACTTCTATTCTTTGTTCAGCAACAGATGACACAATCCCAGCTGGAAAGAAAGATGATGGTTTACAGTACCGGCCAGAGGTGAAAGGTATTGACTTTTTTACTAATTGATACAGACCACCATAGATTTAGCAGTGAATGATATATTTTTTTCTGCATGTTCTTGTTTGATGATTGCAGTATTTGGAATTCATATCGCCCGATGCCCGGGACATGCAGTTTCGGGAGCCGGGCGAGTAGTTTTTTGTACATTTAGCCCTGCTTCGGACAAGCAGAGCTAAATGTACAGCGGGGAGACGCCGCTCGTTTTCTACAAGTGATCTGATCAGATCACTTCTATCAAACGAGCAGCTTCTCTGGGGAACCCGGGACCATGGCACATAAGCTCAGCATAGAGTGTAGAGCAGATGAAGAATGTCCGTACTTTGTCTGCTCTGTGTGATCTCTTGAGACCGTGGGGCTGTCATCACATCGCCACCTGGAAATGCACAGAACGATCGTTCTGTATTGGAGGGCAGGTTCCATAAAGAGAGCCTGTCACCTCCAAACTATCACAATGAGGCTTGTAAGCCCATATGTGACAGGAATAAAATTAAGTGAAAAAAAAGTTATAAATAATAAAAAAGTTATAAAAAAGTAAACAATAAAATATATAAAAATTTTAAAAATAAAAGTGATAAAGTAAAAAATTAAATTAAAAAAATTAAAACCAATCCTGCTGCCCCTGCCGTCTGCATGCAAATAAACGCACGCATAGGACATTGTGTGTGTGCGTTGAGTGCTGCCGCCATTTCACTGTGCCGTATTGTGGTAGCGAGGCAGCAGAACTCTCCCACACGCACAATGTGCATTAAAGGGTAAATTCACTTTCCCAGGTAATATGGGAGAATGGAATTACCCAATCAAATCGGGCCCCGTCTCTCCCAACACCCCCGCCCTCGGATATACTTTTCTTCGGCGAACAGTCCTTACTCTCCGCCAGTACGGATGTAAAATCTGTACCTCGTACTGCTGTCCAGCGCAGTCCTGCCCTATGCATTTTGAATTTAGCTCGCAAATTGCAACCACTCATTGGTCAGTGTGGTCAGGTGACCACGTTGACCAATGAGAAGCACTATTTAGCACAGTCAAATACGGTTTTGATTAGGGATGCACCGATACAGAGTATTTGGGCGGGTACTTGTGGGGCAGGGGAGCAGGGAGGAGAGAACCTGTCACAGGAGGCAGAGCGGTGCAGGAGGGGAGAGCAGTGTAAGCGGCCAGTGTGGCACAAGTGGCCCAACTCTCCTCCTGCCCCGCTCAGCCTCCTGTGACAGATGAGGAGAGTGGTGTGTGGGCGGTGACAGCTGTCATTGCTGTCACAGGAGGCTGAGCTTTCCTCCAGCACCGGCCCGTTCAGCTTCCTGTTCAGGAGAGCGGCGGTGTGGGGCGGAGACAGCTGTCACAGGTGGCTGGAGTTGCGGAGGAGGAGCCAGCTGTCAGAGGAGATTGAACTCCCCGCACCGCTCGCTCAGCCTCCTGTGAAAAGCGAGTCAGGATGGAGAGTGGGTAAAAGTGCTCAGCGATCAGTGATCGCTGAGTGTTTGTAAATAATTCAGGACATAGTATGTTTACTGTGCCCCAAATTATGGTTGAATGGGAATGATCTACATCTCCACAAGTTATGAATGAACAGGAACACTCAGTATAGAGTGGCAGCATAGGTAAAGTGACATCACAGAGCCAGAGAATGTCTGGGAGTGCCAGACAGGATGGAGCTTTCTTAGAGAACTCTGCATCTAAAGAGCTGGTGTGCAAAAGTTCAGGAATGGGGGGTACTATTTGGAGGGTGGGGGGAGTAAAGCATGCTGTTTGGATTTACAACATGGGCCTGGGGGACGCTACAAAAGTGAGCATGTGCCTTTTTGACTTCTGCAAGAGCAAAAATGCATATCGAAGTGATACCAATTTGTTATTAAAACCAAATGTGCTTATATTTCTCTTTAAAGATTCCGGTGATCAGAGAGAAGATGATTATGTGGGCAATTACATGCCATGTTCTGAAAACTATGTTGGATACTGTGTACATGGAACATGTGAATTCAGCTATTCAACCCAGAAAGTATCATGTCGGTAAGTTAAGATGAAAAATCATACACTCTGCTCACCCTAATAAGAATGTGTGATGTATACCCCAGTACTGCAAAATGGTACAAAAATAAGTCTAAAGTGTTGGGCATCCCTATAATACAGTAAACACCTTATAGAAGCTTTCCGTACAAGTATCCCTATTTTGGTGTAACTGTTCCAAGGTAATTGAGCCACACAGGGGTTTAAAAAAATGGCCAGAAAGGACAGTTCCCTATAGTTACTGTGTTTTGGTGGGATAGCAGCATAGGCAGGTATTGCTTTCATCACTTATCTCAGGGGTGAACTATGGTGATTGAGACAAAATTTATTTCCACCTGATCAATGTTTACTGTCATCCAGAGCACACCTGTTCGTTGTCATTGACATTACATTGTAAGCCAAAAACAACCATACTGAGCAGAGGTCAAATGCTTAGGCTACTAAAACTATACATATGAGTAAAAAAATGTGTAAATGGCCAAAGACTAATATTCAGGCACCTAGCAATGTCTTCTTTCTGTCTCTTTTTTTCTCTTCCACAATCTTAGAGCACACACTGAACACCAGAACTTTTCTTCTGCACATTGTACAGTAGCTCTGGGTTGCTCCATGCAAGTCTTGCTGCTTAAATGTTTTTGGGCTGGCATGGTGATGAGATTCAATATGCTTATATGCAGCAGGGGCTGACTGGCAACTTTTAGCCCAGGGGGCAAGTACAACCCAGAGGCCCATGGTGCGCCAACTTGACCCCCCCTCCCGCTTTGCCTCTTCCCCCGCCTTCTCCCCGCCCGTCTGCCACTTTTGCCATCCATGTAACAGTAGTGTGAATGTATTTATCGGTTTAGGAAATGTAAAGCACACTGGTAGTGGAGGGATGCCTCGTCAGGGCTGTGCATGACTGCTGCGACCCTGGTAGTTCTGCCACTAACTCAGAAATACATTGTACAGCATTGCAGAATGGCATTGGCTTTAGAGAACTACAATTCCCAGCAATACATTACACAACAATGCAGAATACCATCAGCTAATCTCAAACATATCATAATCCCTTCTTAAATGCATGTCTTATTTGAGTTGAACAAACATGGATTTAGGATTTCGTAGGTGATTTTTATTGTGTGTCTCTGTTAGCTTGCAGCATCTATGCATGCAGGCCTTTACAACCCTCATCAGCGTTGTGTGCTTTAATGTCATCATCATCATCTTCTAATTATAGCTGAATTAGAAGCTGATTCTGATTGTGCTGACTTTACTATCCATAAAACTGCAAGCCAAGATCTTTTCCGTGAGTTCCGTGATGTGAGTTATGACCCCC